GAATCACCCTGCTTTGTTCCTTCTAAACTTTTTACATTCCTCATGGCCTCATCGTTAGGAGTCGGATGTTATCACCAACCATGGGGCTTATCGACCTCCATGGCAATACTCCCACAGAAAGGCAACTCTTCTGTTCATGGGCTGAATGTGTGCTTCGAACAATTCAAAATCTGAGAACATGCTCAAACTGAAAGGCTAAATGCAAATGAAAAGTGGTACATGAAACACTTTGAGTTTCTGAATTCCTATATTTCACCTGAAGGTCAATGTGATCCTTCGTCACAGCCAACATGGGTTCATGAGGAGAAGGTCCTGGTTGGGGCAATCCTAGACATGAGTACAGACTGGGTGAAGAACTTACTGACAGCAGCCCTACAGAGAAGGACTTGGGTGCTCTGGTAAATGAAAAACTCAGATAGAGCCAGCAGCGCACACTTGCATCCCAGAAGGCAAACAGCGTTCTGGGCTGCATCAAAAGAGAAGTGGCCAAAAGGCTGAGGGAGGTTAATTTTCCCCCTCTCCTCTGCCTTTGTGAGGCCCCGTTTGGAGTACTGCATCCAAGTCTTGGACCCAAAGCACAAGAAGGATGTTGATCTGTTGAGGGGGTCCAGAGGAGGGCCATGATCAGAGGGCTGGAGCACCTCTCCTATGAAGAAAGGCTGAGAGAGCTGGGGTTGTTCACCCTGGAGAAGAGAAGGCTCCAGGGAGACCTCATTGCGGCCTTTCAGTATTTTAAGGGGGCTTGTAAAAAAAGATGGAGGGCAACTTTTTCCTCAGTCAGATAATGACAGGACAAGGGTGTATGGTTTTAAACTAAAAGAGGGAAGAGTTTGAGTAGCTGTTTGGAGGAAATTCTTCACTCAGAGGGTGGTGAGGCACTGGAACACACTGCTCAGAGAAGTTTTGGATGTCCCATCCCTGGAGGTGTTCAAGTCCAGGTTGGAGGAGGTCCTGGGCAACCTGATCTAGTGGGTGGCATCCCTCCCCATGGCAGGAGGGTTGGAATTAGATGATCTTCAAGGTCCCTTCCAACCTGAGCCATTCTATGATTCTATGATGATTCTCTGACTACTGGAATTGCCATGGTGAAGCCATGCTGGCTTTCTCAGTTCACTTCCTTCTCCTGCATGTGCTTCCAGGAGGATCTGTTCCATGATATTCCCAGGAACAGGGGTGAGGCTCACCTGTCTGTAGCTCTCCAGGTCTTCCTTTCTGCCCTTTTTAAGAATGGGAGTGATGTTTCACTTTTTCTAGTCACCAGGGACTTTGCCTGACTGCCATGACTATTCAAATACGACGGAGAGTGGCTTGTCAACTACATCAGCCAGTTCCCTCAGGACACTGGGATGCATGTCATCGGGCCTCATAGACTTATGCATGTTCAGTTTCATTATGTGGTCTCAAACCTGCTCTTCACTTACTGTGGGAGAGACTTTGCTCTCCCAGGCCCTGCTTCGAGGTTCAGGGACTCAAGAGACGTGGGAAGCCTGACTGGCAGTGAAGACTGAGGCAAAGAAGTTGGTGAATACCTCATCCTTCTCCATGTCTGTCATTACCAGTTCACCCTTCTCATCCGTCAGAGGGGGTACGCTCTCCTTGGCCTTTCTTTTCTGACCAATGTACCTATAGAATCCCTTCCTGTTATTTTTTGCATGCCTTGCCAAGTTTAGTTTCATCTGTGACTTGGCTTTCCTTATCCCATCCCTGCACATCCAGACTGCATCCCTGTACCCTTCCCAGGCCACATGTCCCTTCTTCCACTGCCTATGCATTTCCTTCTTGTGCCTCAATTTGACGAGCAGGTCCTTGCTCAGCCATGCCGGTTTCCTGTCTTCCCTGCTTGATTTCTTACCCATGGGGATGTAGCGCTCTTGCACGCTAATAAAAGTGTCTTTAAATAGTTGACAGCTCTGATCAGCTCCTTTGTCCCTAAGGACAGTGTTCCATGGGATCTCATCTGTTAGGTCTTTAAACAGCTGGAAGTTTGCTCTTCAGAAGTTCAGGGTCCTGACTTCACTCTTTGCCCATATCCTTTGAGATCGGAAGCTAAACCAGGGCATGGTCACTGCAGCCCAGTCTGCCTCCAATCTTAACCTCTTCAATGAGTTAATCTGCATTGGTGAACACCAGGTCCAGTAATGCTTCTTCTTTGGTTGGTTTGTCTAATACCTGGACCAGGAAGTTATCCTTGATGCACTCCAGTAGTCTCCTGGATTGCTTACAGCCTGCTGTGCAGCTTTTCCAGAAGACATTGAGGTGGCTGTAGTCCCCCATCAGGATGAGAGCTTGCAAGCATGGTGCTTCTTGTAGTTGAAGCAAGAATGCTTCATCCACAGGCTCCCCTTGATCAGGCTGCCTGTATTAGACCCCAATCACAAGGTATGCTTTATTTGTCCCGTCCTTAACTTTTACCCACAAGCTCTCATCCTGTCTGTGGCTGTTTCTCAGAGGCAGCTCTTCCCAATCAACTTAGAAGGCAACACCCCCGCCCTTCCTTCCCCTCCTGTCTCTTCTGAAAAACTTGAATACCTCTATTCCAATGTTCCAGTTATATGATCCTTCCCACCACGTTTCTGTGAGAGCAATTAGGTCACAATTTTCTAATTGCACCATGGTTTCCAATGCCTCCTGCTTGTTTCCCATGCTGTGTGTGTTGGTATAGAGGCACTTCAGCTGGAATATCAGTCGCATCACCTTTTCAGAGGAACCCTTCCTAATTCCTTTGGGACGATTCACAAGTATTTCCCTGTTGCTTCCTAAAGTGACAATGTTCCCAGGTTCTCTTTCATCACTCAGAGATACATCCCCTTCCCCTGATGGATCTAGTTTTAAGATCTGCTAATAAGCCCAGCCAGCTTGCTGCCCAGAACACTCTTGCCCCAACTGGTCAGGTGCACCCCATCTGGTGTCAACATGCCCAAAAGTTTGTCCAAGATTGTAGAACCCAAAACTTTCAGCATAGCACCAGCCGCACAGCCAGTCACTCACTTGGTCCTTCTTCTTGGGTCCCAGTCATTAACTGGGAGAACAGAGGAGAACATTACTTGCACTCCCAATGCCTTCAACATCTTTCCAAAGGTCATCAAGTCCCTTTTGATATTTTGGAGTCTCTTTGTTGCAGCCTCATTTGAACCTTCATGAAAGAGTAGGAATGGGTGGTAGTCTTCTGGCCCCACCAAGACTGGTATCGTCTTTGTAATATCACAAATGCGGGCTCTCTGGGCAGGCAGAAAACCTCTCTGGAGAGATTATCTGGATGGCAAATAGGTGCCTCAGTGCATCTTAGTGTGGAGTCTCCAATTACTAACACCCTTTGCACCTTTTTTGTGGCACTGGTTCTAATGCAGGTGGTTGACTCAGCCAACTTTGGATGGTTGCCCTTTCCAAGGTCTTTATATTTGTTATGGTTTAACCCAACTGGCAGCTAAGCACCATAGCCATTTGCTCACCCTCCCCCCTCTCTCTCTGGGATGGGGGAATCAGGAAAAAAATGAAGCCTGTGGGTTAAGATAAAGACAGTTTATTAGGACAGAAAAGAAAGGAAAATAGTAGGAATAATGATAATAACACTACTAATAATGACATGTACAAAACAAGTGATGCACAGTGCAATTGCTCACCACCCAGTGACCGATGCCCAGCCTATCCCCGAGCAGCTGGTCCCCCTATCCTGGCCAGCCACCCCATATCAATTGTTCAGCATGACACCATATGGTATGGAATACCCCTTTGGCCAGTTTGGGTCAACTGTCCTGGTTCTGTCCCCTCCCAGCTCCTGATGCATCCCCAGCCTCCTCACTGGCAGGGCAGCATGAGAAGCTGAAAAGTCCTTGGCTTAGTGTAAGCACTGCTCTGCAACAACTAAAACATCAGCATGTTATCAACATTATTCTCATCCTAAATCCCAAATGCAGCACTTGATCAGCTACTAGGGGGAAAATTAACTCTATCCTAGCCAAGACCAGTACACCATTACTCACACACTCTTCTTTTTCAAGACCCAGAGTATTGTATCTGTTTTGTAGGGGCACTTCAGGGGCAAGGGGGAGACTCCTTCTCCTGCTCCAAGCAGTTTGAAAACAAGTTTCACAAACAGAAGTTTCAAACAGCTTCAAGCTGTTTGAAAAGTTCATCCAGCTGGGCACACTTGCATCCATGACATCCACCTTTGCCTTCAGAGCCTCCTAGGAGGACTCCCAGATTCTGTATTGCCCTGGAACTGAGGGTCTGGGCAGCAATTTCAGTCCTCGGGAGTTCTGTTTTGGTCTAGGCATCTGCCTGGGGAGGTTGTGGCCCCTCTGTTTGGGTTCGAACAGTTGTTGTTGTAAAGATCATTTTACATGCAGTACATGTAACCTAAATCTCTGTTATGGAAGTATTTTTTAGTATACTATGGTCAGTTCACAGAACTGCAGACTGTTTTAGGCATTTAGGCATTGGAATGGGCTACCCAGGGAAGTGGTGGAGTCACCATCCCTGGAGGTCTTTAAAAGATGTTTAGATGTTGAACTTAGCGATATGTTTTAGTGGAGGACTTGTTAGTGTTAGGTCAGAGGTTGGACTCGATGATCTTGAGGTCTCTTCCAACCTAGACAATTCTGTGATTCTGTGATTTTTAGATAGGAAAGGACCTCTGGAAGTCATCTGGTCCAACTCTCCTGCTCAAACAGGGATACCTACAGCAGGTTGCTCTGGACCATGTCCAGATGGCTTTTCAAGATCTCCAAGGAGGGAGACTCCACAACTCTGGGCAACCTGTTCAAGTGCTTAGTCACTTGCACTGTAAAGATTAGAAGGAATTAAGTAAAAGGTTTTAGACAGGAAGAGTATGTGTAACAGAGATTCTAGTTCAGCTGTTTCATGATCAAAATTATGGCCATGGGCTCTAGCAGTTCTTGTGAGCCCTTTGAATTCTTAAAAAAAAAAAAAAAAAAAAAAAGATTTGAAGAAAAAAAATAAAAGAGATTTGAAGACTGACCATTCTTATTCTGTCTGTGCAGTTCGACAGTCAGCAAGCATTGGGAGGCAGAACTGGCCACGCTCAAAGGTAATAATGCTAAGCTCACAGCAGCCCTTCTGGAATCTACTGCTAATGTAAAACAATGGAAACAACAGCTCGCTGCATATCAGGAGGAAGCAGAACGTCTTCATAAGCGGGTAAGTCAAGGCAAACAGCCAGGATCCTTGAGATGGAAGCACTGGTGACTGTAATGGCTCATTTTTAAGTAAAACAAGTTTATTCTTGGGGCTTTAGGTAAATCTTTGGGAAATCTTTAGGAAATTAATGATTTTTTTAAAGCACAGAGGGTTTCTCAGTTAGGGAATTCTTTCTTTTGTAGCTGTTCCTTTTCTGCAGAGGGTTTTGTTGCAGGAAGTTATATGAGCTGAGAAACAGGACGTATTTGCCAGCTTTCACTCTTCATTTTATGCCAGCTGCATCACAGCTGTTTCAGGACCTTCTCCATAGCATTACACTTCAATTCCTCTTGCATTTAATCTCATACAAACTTTACATGAGATCTGTAATTTTAAAGAACCCTCTTGTAGTTTCCACGTGTACCAAAGACCAGCAGCTTCCTTTCAGCCTTGCACTCAAAGAAAACTGAACATAGAATGAAGCTCATCAGATGCAAATAAAGATCTGTTCCTGCATTCATACAGGAGGGGCGGGGTCCTATTCCCTTCACTCTGTATTCTGCAGAAGTAATTTGGCAAACCAGAAATGAGAGCACAATGGGGGCAGAAATGACAGCTCAAATGCTGCTGGATTTTGCACCTGGGAAGGGGCAACCCTGGTTATATGTACAGACTGGAGGACGAGAGGCTGAAGAACAGCCCTGCAGAGAGAGATATGGGGGTTTTAGTCAACAGCAAGCTGAACATGAGCCAGCAGTGTGCCTTGCCAGACAGGAGGGCCAACCATATCCTGGGGTGCATCAAGAATGGCATTGCTAGCCAGTCAAGGGAAGTTATTGTCCCACTCTACACTGGTGCAGCCTCACCTCGACTACTGTGTGTAGTTTTGGGTGCCACAGTATAAGAAAGATATAAAACTGTTAGATATAAAACTGTCCCTGTCCAAAGGAGGGCAACAAAGATGGTAAAGGGTCTAAAGGGGAAGATATATAAGGAGCAGATGAAGTCACTTGGTTTCTTCAGCCTGGAGAAGAGGAGACTGAGGGGAGACCTCATTGTGGTATGCAACTTTCTCATGAGGGGGAGCAGAGAGGCAGGTGCTGATCTCTTCTTTGGTAACCAGTGATAGGACCCAAGGGAATTGCTTGAGGCTGCGACAGGGGAGGTTCAGTCTGGATATCAGAAACAGGTTCTTCACTGAGAAGGTGGTTGAGCCACCAGGGAAGGTGACCCAGGGAAGTGGTCACGGCACCTGACAGAGCCTGACAGAGTTTAGGAAGCATTTGGACAATGCTCTCAGACACTTGATCTGATTTTTTACTTTTTTTTTTGTGCGTGGTTCTTTGGGAACCCAGGAATAGGACTTGATGATCCTTGTGGGTCCCTTCCAACTTGGATATTCTATGATTTGATGATTCTTTGTGTTCAAGGCCAGGTCAGATGGGGCCCTGGGGAACCTGATCTAGTGGGTGGAATCCTTGCACAAGGCAGGGGGTTTGGAACTAGATGATCTTTAGGGTCCTTTCCAAACTAAAGCATTCTATAATTACATGATTCTATTATTCTCTGATATGCTGTATTCTCTAATACGAAATAAGGTATGGCAACTGCACTTAGCCAAACCCTGCAAATTTCGTACGGTCTTTTCATGCCTGTGCTGAACCTGTCCCACTGGAGGCTGTATGTAGTCACAGGAACAAGAATCATGTTGGTCTGAAGAGGAGAAATTCAGCAGGCTGCATCTAACCTGGAGGTCTGGAAGAATAGCAAGAATTCCCTTGACTTGAGAAACCTGGGGAAATGTCAGGTTGTTAGGGCTGTCCTATATCTAGACTGACTTGAAGACAAGGATCTTGAAGTTCCAGTACACCGCTGTAGCAATTGGCACCTGCTTTTCTTCGACCCTTAGCAACCCCACAACAGAAGGGTCCTCTGAGAGACCAGGCAAGGTAGACAACTCTTTAACGTCCTCTGTCTCTAAGGCAACTATGCCAAAAGCCCACCGGTACCCTTTTGGGTCCTTGAAATATCCTCTTCTAAGATAGTCTATGCCAAGGATGCACGGAGCATCCGGGCCAGTCACAAGAGGGTGCTTTTGCCACTCCTTCCCAGTTAGGCTAACTTCAGCCTCCAATACAGTTAACTGCTGGGATCCCCCCGTCACTCCACAAATACAGATGGGTTCTGGCCCTTTATAGCTTGATGGCATTACAATGATGTGATCAACATCACTCTAATGGATGTGATCAATAAAATAACAACTATGTCTCCACCAACTAGCAAAAAAGAATCACAAACCTTTTTAGGTGTCATGGATTTTTGGAGAATGCACATTCCAAATTACAGTCTGACTGTAAACCCACTTTACCAAGTAACCCGTAAGAAGAACAATTTCAAACTGGGCCCCGAGCAACGACAAGACTGAATAAATTAAACAGGAGATAGTTCATGCAGTAGCCCTTGGCCAGTCCGAACAGGACCAGATGTAAAGAATGTGCTCTACACTGCAGCCAGGGTCAATGGCTCCACCTGGAGCTTCTGGCAGAAAAAGCACGGGGAAACTCGAGGTCGACCCCTGGGGTTTTGGAGTTGGGGATACAGAGGATCTGAGGCCCGCTACACTCCACCTGAAAAGGAGATATTGGCAGCATATGAAGGAGTTCAATCTGCTTTGGAAGTGGTTGGTAGTGAAGCACAGCTCCTCCTGGCACCTCGACTGGGCTGGATGTTCAAAGGAAGGGTCCCCTCTACACATCATGCAACTGATGGTACATGGAGCAAGTGGGTTGCACTGATTACTCAGCGGGCTCAAATTTGAAACCCCAGTCGCCCAGAAATCTTGGAAGTGATTGTGGACTGGCCAGAAGGCAAATATTTTGAGATATCATCATGAGAAGAGGTGGTCCATGCTGAAGAAGCCCCACTTTACAACAAGCTACCAGAAAATTTAGAAGTGATATGCCCTGTTCACTGATGGGACCTGTTGGACTGTAGAAAAGCATCAGAGATGGAAGGCTGCTGCATGGATTCCTACACGACGAGTTGCAGAAGCTGCTGAGGGAGAAGGTGAATCGAGTCAGTTTGCAAAAGTGAAGGCCATTCAGCTGGCTTTAGACATTGCTGAAGGAGAAAAATGGCCAGTTCTCTATCTCTACACCGATTCATGGATGGTAGCAAATGCCCTGTGGGGATGGTTACAGCAATGGAAGCAAAACAACTGGCAGCGTAGGGGCAAACTCATCTGGGCTGCTGCATTGTGGCAAGATATTGCTGCTCGGATAGAGAACTGGTTGTAAAGGTACGCTGCGTAGATGCTCATGTGCCCAAGAATCGGGCTACTGAAGAACATCAAAACAACCAGCAGGTGGATCAGGCTGCTAAAATTGAAGTGGCTCAGGTGGACCTGGACTGGCATCAGGAGGGTGAATTATTTATTGCTCGATGGGCCCATGACACCTCAGGCCATCAAGGTAGAGATGCAACATACAGATGGGCTCGTGATCGAGGGGTGGACCTGACCATGGACACTATAGCACAGGTTATTCATGACTGTGAAGCATGTCTTTTGGTATGGAGAACAATGGCTGAAATATAAATATGGAGAGGCCTGGCAGATTGATTACATCACACTCCCTCAAACTCGCAATGGCAAGCACCATGTACTTGCAATGGTGGAAGCAACCACCGGATGGCTGGAAACATATCTTGTGCCTCATGCCACCGCCCGGAACACTATCCTGGGCCTTGAAAAGCAAGTCCTATGGCAACAAGACACCCCAGAAAGAATAGAGTCAGACAATGGAACTCATTTCCGAAACAACCTTATAGACACTTGGGCCAAAGAGCATGGTATTGAGTGGGTGTATCACATCCCCTATCATGCACCAGCCTCCAGGAAAATCAAGCGATACAATGGATTGTTAAAGACTACACTGAAGGCAATGGGTGCTGGGACATTCAAAAATTGGGATATGCATTTGGCAAAGGCCACCTGGTTAGTCAATACTAAGGGATCTGCCAACCGAGCTGGACCTGCCCAATCAAACCTGTTACGTACTGTAGAAGGGGATAAAGTTCCTGTAGTGCACGTAAGAAACATGCTGGGGAAGACAGTCTGGGCTACTCCTGCCTCAGGAAAAGGCAAACCCATTCGTGGGATTGCTTTTGCTCAAGGACCTGGATGCATTTGGTGGGTACTGCAAAAGAATAGGGAGGTCCGGTGTGTACCTCAAGGGGATTTAATACTGGGTGAGAATAGCCCATGAGTTGAATTGTATCATGTTAATTATTATACAATACTGTATGTCATCACTACCATGATTGCTATATATCAATGTCTTGTTAATTGTATCAGAGTAACAGCCACACAGGTAATGATGAAATAATTTTGATAGAATTGGACAAGCACAGAGATCTGATGGAACGCGAACGGGCTTCAGCGTGCTATGATCCAACATCGCACACCATCTTTTCCGCCCTGAAAGACAGTTGTAACAGGTGGAGCCTGAAGTCAGTCATGGACTAAACAAACTCAGTGGACATTTTATATACATATATGAAAAGTGGTGCTTAATTGGAATATTTTGGAATGTATGAACCTGAGCATGACTTAAATGGTATGGAATAAGGCAAGGATACTGTTCAGGTTTGGGGTAGAATAGAGTTAATTTTCCTCCTGGTAGCTGGTAGGGTGCTGTGTTTGGGATTTAGGATGAGAATAATGTTGATAACATGATGATGTTTTAATTGTTGCAGAGCAGTGCTTATGCTAAGCCAAGGACTTTTCAGCTTCTCATGCTGCCCTGCCAGTGAGGAGGCTGGGGGTGCATCAGGAGCTGGGAGGGGACAGAACCAGGACAGCTGACCCAAACTGGCCAAAGGGGGTATTCCATATCATATGAAATCATGCTGAACAACTAATATGGGGTGGCTAGGCAGGGCAGGGGACATCTCCTCAAGGACAGGCTGGGCAGTGGTCAGTGGGTGGTGAGCAATTGCATTGTGCATCACTTGCTTTCTGT